TTTTGCTGTTGAGAAGCTCCAAGGTTGCAGAGAAAAAGGAACACCTTTACACTCTTGGTGGGAGTATAAATTAGTTCAGCCACTTTGGAAGGCAGTGTGGCGATTTCTCAAATACCTAGAGGCAGAAATATCATTTGACCCAGCAATCCCATTACTGTGTATTACCAGGAATATAAAACATTCTATTTTAAAGATTACATGAACACACATGTTCATTGCAGTGTTTTTCACAATAGCAAACACATGAAATCAACCTCAGTCAATCATAGACTGGATAAAGAAAATGAGGTACATTGCACTGCAGCCTGAGCCACAGAGCAAGACCCCATCTCGGGAAAACAACAACAACAACAACAACAAAATGTGGTACATATACACCATGGAATACTATGCAGCCATAAAAAGAATTGAGATCATGTCTTTTGCAGGGACATGAATAGAGTTGGAAGTCATTATCCTCAGCAAACTAACACAGGAACAGAAAATCAAACACTACCTATTCTCGCTTATGATTGGGATCTAAATAATGAGAACACATGGACACATGGTGAGGAACAACACACAATGAGGCCTCTCAGGGATGGTGGGAGAGGAGGAAAGACATCAGGAAGAATAGCTAATGGTTGCTGGGCTTAATACCTAGGTGATGGGATGATCTATGTAACAAGCCACCACAGCACACCGTTACCTAGGTAACAAACCTGCACATCCTACACATGTTCCCCTGAACTTAATATAAAAGTTGAGGGCCAGAAGTGGTGGCCCCTGCTTGTAATCCCAGCACTTTGGGAGCCCAAGTTAGGTGGAGCACTTGAGGTCAGGGGTTCAAGACCTGCCTGGCCAGCAAGGTGAAACCCATCTCTACAAAAAATTAATCGCATGTGGTGGTACACACCCGTAGTCCCAGCTATTTGGGAGGCTGAGGCAGGAGAATCCCTTGAAGCAGAGAGGTAGAGGTTTCAGTGAGCTGAGATCATGCCACTGCACTGCAGCCTGGGTAACAGAGCGAGACTCCCTCTCAAAAAAAAAACAAAACAAAAAAACAAAACAAACAAACAAAAAAAATGTTGAAGAATAAATGTTTTAGAGAGAAAACTCTTGTTGAACATTAAATTAAAACTGTTTAAATGCCGTTTTGACCTGTGGGCTGCCAATTTCTGACACTGACCTTATAAACAAATGAATAATATTTCATATGGATAATTGCTTAGAATGGCTAAGTATGTGAACCTGCCCCTGAATTCACCATTCTACTTTCTCTCAACTTCATTCATTTTCTCTACTAAAAACACTTTCTCACAGGAAAGACAATTGCCAAGAACTGGCATATTTTCAACGCTTACATTTTCATCTGTTTGCCAAATGTCTGTAATATAATTCACAAAAGCTCTGTTTATTGAGTAATATTATTAATGGATAGCATAATACTGTGGAATTGAAGACATTCTTTTTGGATTATGTCCAGGTCTTTAAAAAGAACATGGATCCCAATAGGAAATGAATGACTTACATTAAAATGTATTATTTTTAAAAGAAGAACAACACGGAAAGCACTAGAATAGGTATATTTTCCAATTACTATAACGCAACTTTTCTCTTTGAATGATAACAAAGTAGAATGTCATGCCTATGAATGCTTCTATAAAATAATTTTTCATTTTCAACACATTGTTAAAAATATCATAGGACTGAGAAATCATTCAACTTAACAGTCTATTGACTTTTCCACTGCAGCTGCATTTGCCAAGCTTTGATAAGTAAATTATATTTGTTGCTTTTTAAAATTTATGGCTAAATTCACAAATTACTAAAATATGCCAAGGAGGAACAACACAAAAGTTTACTTTTACATTTTTGTTTTCAAAAGGTACTTAATGTCTAAATAAGAAGCATTAAAATGTATTCTCAACCCAAATTATAGTTAATTATTTCACTAGTTCATAATCCAATAGTCACCACCTGAGACCAAGTCTGAAAATCCCAATTTGACTTCAGAAACCAATCATAAGCCTTCATTCATTTAATGGCTCTATTTTTAAAGGAAAGCATGAAATCATCCAAGAATCAGAAAATATCAAACACTTAACTGTGAGCAATTAAAGAGAGAGAAAGAAAGAAACAAGACAGGACATCAAAAGCAAATGAAAGAGACTAATATGGACTGAGAAGCTCAGAAAATAACTTATCATATGAAGGTATTAGCCAAACTATTGCTTGCAAATACTAGATATATTCAGTTCAAGGTGCCCTACTAAATTCAACCCAAAGCATTTTTTAACTGGGGTGTTTGTGGTTTTGTGGAGGAGAGAACAAGGTTAATGAAAGAAATCACTGATTATAAGGAAGTAAGTGTCCATCTTAAGGGATCAAAAGAAGACAGTAGAAAAACAGAATAAATGTTACTTCAACTTTAAAATCTAGAACAAATAAAATTGGCAAAAATTTCAATACACAATTATGGCTCAGTAAAGTGTGACTCAATCAAGTTAGTCCAATTAATTTCATTTCTGTGACAGTATCATAAGCCATACAATCAAGCATATTAAAATCAGTTCTTCTATAAAGATTTTTTCTTATGATATACTAACCAAATTAAATGTAGACTCTAGACATTAGAAATCCAAAAAGAAAACCATAAAAGATTTCTTCTTTCAAAACAAATACTGACTAATGATGAGGACTAGATGTATATAAAGCAGTGAACTAGAAAATAAATTCCAAAGGATATCTAAATTAGAACATGAAAGTTTTGGTTTGAGCACATAGAACGAAAGTAGGCTATAACCAAATCAAAGGCTGTGAGTTGAAACTGAGGGATAGGACTACATCATAAAAGTGCTAGAGAAAGTCTGCATTAAAGGTAATACTCATGCCATTGAACTATTCTCACTAATGTTATAGTCAAATGCAAATTTGATAGATCAGAGTAAGAATTAGAAGACAGAAATGGAGTTCGCCAAAACCTTGACAGATGGTTTTTTAAAAAGCAAGATGCTCTATAAAATCCTAAAACAAATTGCATAGAGAAGTGAAATAACTAAAACACAAGCATAGGGTCAGGTCCAGAAGGCAGAGAAGTTCATAAGTCATACAGGGGTGTATGAGACAATGCTACCACCTTAAAAGCTAAAATGCACTAACATATAACCCCGTATTTATGTAACAAAATGATAGAAATATAAGCATTTGTTATAGTTTGGATGTTTGTCCCATCCAAATCTCATGTTGAAATATGATCCCCAGTGTTGGAAGTGGGCCTGGTGGGAGGTGTTTGGGTCACAGGGGTGGATTCTCCACGAAGTGCCCTCCCTTCAGTAGTGAGATCAGACTCTGTTAGTTCATGCAAGAACTGGCTGTTTAAAAAAGCCTGGCTTCTGGCTTTGCCTTCTGCCATGGTTGTAAGCTTTCTGAGGCCTCACCAGAAGCCAAGCAGATACTGGCACCATGCTTGTACAGCCTGCAGTGCCATGAGCCAAATAAACCTCTTTTCATTATTATTTACCCAGTCTCAGGTCTTCCTGTAAAGCAATGCAAATAGACTAACCCACCATTCCATACACTTGTCATTAAAGAACTGCTTTTTAGAATGACAGCAATTATATAATGCAGTTCACTATATTTGAACATTTAATTTTAGTAGATGTGCTCAAATTGTCTTCCAAAACAATTGCATCAATTGGCAGTCCCATCAGTGATGCGTTAAAGGTTATATTCTCACAAGTACTAAATGACACCAATCTTTATATTTTCTGCTAATTTGAAATATTAAAAACAATTGCTGAATATGATTAAAACTGAGGTTGGGTAACATTTTATGTGTAAATTAAAATTATAATTTGTTCATTTGTAAATTGCTTGTTCATATATTTGCTTATTTTTATCAGACATTTTTCTTAATATTCTGTAAATGCTTCTTGTATATTAGGAATTTTAACTCTTCACCTGATGATATGATATAAATATTTTCTATCAATCCATCATTTATCACTGCATTACATTTATGTTAGCCCTTACACTGTTTAGAATTTTAAATATTTATATAACATAATATGTCATTAATTTCCTTCATAACTCCAGATGTTTGTTTCTGTTTATATTTCATTTGTTTAGCTGATAAAAGCTCTCAACTTAAGATATGGAAGTATTCTTCTAATCTTTATTTTAATGTACTTATAGTTCTTTTCTACTTTAAAAGCTTAAGCCACATATATTTTTGTACATACCATCAGGTAGAGCTCTAATTTGATTTTCTTGCAAATTAGCAGTTAATCATCTCAAACATATTTACTAAAGAGTCTATCTTACCTACTCTCATTATTGGTATGATTGTTACTGCTGCTGAACTGTCTTTCATATCAGCTATTTCTGATGTTGTTGCTCGATATTCCTACCAACAAACGTCTCTCGATTTTTTTTTTCCACAGAGATAAAGCTAAATTTCCACCTCAACTATGGAATTCCCCTAACCATCACAAACTAAAGTAACATAACTCATAAATCATTTTACTACAGAGTTTCAAGTTAATTACTTTAAATGCCTGATATTAGCAATAAATGAACCTTGATTCACATAAATACATACAAATTGTTCTGCATCTACAGATCCTTTTCTTGTTTATAGATACCTTTGTATAAATTCTCTTTAGTAGGAATCAAACTATTTTTTTGTTTAGTTCCATGCTATCCAGACACATTAAAAATGGTCTTATAAAAAATGATAATGTTGATGAAACAAAGAAAAACAAAAAAAGAAGAAAAACCTTAGGGTTTGGTTTCAGCTGTAATTTCTCTGGTTGAAATTATTTTTTAAAAATGCAATTTCAACATAATTGATGGCTGTTATTTTTTCTATTCAAAAACTCTGCAATAATTGACATTTTAAGCTCATATCAGTTTTTAAATTTATTTTCATTAGTTAGGCCAAAATTAATTTCATAGAATTTAGTCACCATCTCTACTATTTTATTTTTTTAGATTTCTGTGAATAAAATAGAACTCACGTAAAGTCCTTCAGTGAAGCTGTCCTGGGAGCAGAGGCACCTATATGGCTGGCTTGTCGTGTCGCAGTTATTGGCATGACCATGGCACTGACATCTGCAAACATAAGCATCACACACTCCTAAGGAACAGCAAATCAACTGTGAATGTATTTAAGGCCCTAGGACTATATACATTGTGTAAATTCAACAAAGAAGATTTTTGTATATTTAATCGATACAAAATCAGTTTTTCCTTAATGGTGTGGATATTCATGTAAGTTTTAATTTATCTGGAAATATCAGAAGGACTGTCACCCATATCAAACCACCGCATTATAAAGACAATTTTCAAGCCAACCTCAAAAGGGAAATGGAATTCTTTGTATCTATATCAGCCATGTACCAACGGAAGGCATTTATTAAACTATTTAAAATACAGTTAAGAATATAAAATTCAGGCTGGGTGTGGTGGCTCATGCCTATAATCCCAGCACTTTGGGAGACCAAGGCAGGTAGATGGCTTCAAGTCAGGAGTTCACCTGAGTAACATGGTAAAAACCCATCTCTACAAAAAGTGAAAAAAATCAGCCGGGCATGGTGGCACATGCCTGTAAGTCCCAGTCACTTGGGAGGCTGAGATGAGAGGACCACATGAGGCCCAGAAGTCGAGGTTGCAGTGAGCCATGATTGTGCCACTGCATGCCAGCCTGGGTGACAGAGCAAAACCCTGTCAATAAAAAGAATATGAAGTTCAGAATAAACTGCAGAATGTAGTTAACACATTTCATTTTTTTTCTTTTTTTCCAAAGTTAGATGATGAATATTTAATAGTTTTACTTTGTTCATTATGCTATGACTTAGCAAACAAACAATGCTTATATACTGGCATTCCGTTCTGCTTTTAAAGACATATTTTATTCACAAGGCCTATCATTCCTCTAAAACAACTTATTTTAATATATTCTATATGTACATTTTTATGTTAGAGAGTAGGCTTCTTAGGTTTGCAGCTATCATTTCTTTTTAAATATTGTGAGTCATGTTCTCAATTATGATCAGACATTTATAAACTACTTAGGGCACATCAGATCTTTCCACTAAAGAAATACAAGTATTCCCCATGTAACTGTGCATTATGAACTTAGGTAGACCAAGATCCGTACTTAAAAACTCTCTGGTACTATAGTTACAACACCAAATCCAGATGCTTCTTCATGCTTTCAAGAATATTTGAAAATTATATTATATAAAAAATAAAGTAACATATTAGGTAAATCATTTCTAAGTCAGATTCAGAGTGTCGTAACTTCTAAAAGCAACAGCTTTTGAAAATCAATTCCATGACAATGTTATATCCAGAAAAGACTCACATATAGATCTTCCCCTAAAATCATAGAGTACAAAATCGTTTCAAAATGTAAAGCTTGAAATCTGGCTTGCTCTGAAATCTTAATGTGCTGTTAAATAGGTATGACAAAAACCTTGTTGAAAACAAAATTCATAATAATACCTCCCACTAATGGTGATTTCATCCACTGCATAATATCTGTGTCTGAGGTTGACGGCAGTCTCAGTTGTGTAGTACTGTCCATGAAAATGAAACCTTATTTGCGTGGCTTTTACGAACTCTTGAAGAGATGGGGTATTATAGAAGTCATTGTATCCAGGACGATAATTTGGTCCAGGTGTCAGGATGCTAAAAGTGACATTGCCACGGGAATATGGAGTAAAACTGTTAATGAAAGAAATTTGACGTCATGAAAATCTATTTATATTTTTGGCAAAACAGAAATCAAGATGTTGAGAAATTATTACACAGTGTCATAAAAGCTTAAATCATTCTAGAAAAAGCATATTCCACACATTTCAGATACAAACATTACATGAGTTTAACACTAAAACAGTTCCTTGAAAACATAATGAAAATTCTATTAACATAGATAACTTGCTAAACAGTCTGAAAATCAGATTGCAAAACACCAGTGAGATTGAAATAAGGGTTACTCTAATGTCTTTTACGGTAACTTTAAACATAGTTTTAATCTCAATTTAGAGATAAGACGTAGGAGAATCTGCCTCAAGGAAGCTGGTGGTGAAGGGAAGTCTCTACCAGCCTAGAGAGCTAGCTTACTTGTATGTTATTATTATTAACTCATCAGTCTATTAAATTAATTGTTTAAAAATGTTCATACTTGGAAAGCTGCAGACAGTTGACAGAATCAGGTTTTTCCAAATCTCCATTGTTTTTCATTCCAAAAGCACCACAATTTCTGGCAAAATATTGCCAGTCCTCCCAATCTAAACTGTTTTCCTTCTTCCTTTGAATCCTTATTTCCGTTGGTTGTAGACTAAAGAACTGAATGATAATATAAAACACCTGAAAATTGAAAGTTAATTATTGTAATTAAAATTTTAAGTTTGACCCATCAGCATGTCAAACCATAGAATTGTTAGAATATATTGGCTCACTTTGTCATAATTATAATTACCAAATATATATTAGACATCCAGAAACTTCATAGCCCTGTGGTAAAAGCAGCATATTCTATAATTGTATATCTCTTCCTTTGCTGAAGGATTTTATATATCAATATGCAAAGAAAGACAAAGAACATCACTTCCATGAAATAAATGTCATATACAGTCTTCTTAAGTAGTTATTTTAAAAAAGCATCTTAGTTTGCATTAATTTTTGCTACTTAATAAAGAGAATTAGTTTTGGCATTTCACAAATATCATTTTGATACAAATCTCTAAAACATAAGGCCCTGCATGTTGTCTTCTAGATGTGTTTATTGCTTTATTGAGGCAATGTTCAAATGCCTACTTCAGTTTTCACCATGTAGTATGCTGAATTGTGTTCCCAAATAGATTATGTCTAAGTACTACTGTCCAAACCTGTAAATGTGACCTTATTTGTAAATAGGGTCTTTGTAATATAATTAAGGATGTCAATATGAGATCATCCTTGATTTGGGTGGGCCTTATAAGGGATAATTGATGCTCACAGAGAAACAAGGAAGGATGCCATGTGAAAACAGAGGCAGAGACCGAAGTTGTGGTGACACAAGCCAAGTAACACCAAGAGTCCCCAGGAGCTGGAAATTGCAAGGAAGGATCCTCCTCTGGAACCTTTGGAGTGTAGCCCTGCCAACATGTTGTTTTCATATTTCTGGTGTCCAGAACTGTTATGGAATACACTTCTGTTGCTTTAAGACATGAAGTTTGTGGTCACTTGTTGCAACAACCACAGGAAATTAATGTACGCCTTACTGTTTCTAATTACCTGATATTGTCCATTTTCCAAATCAACTGAAATCGTCACTCCTTGATTAAGCTGTGTCATGTTTGTAAACACGTTTGAAACCCATGAAGTACCAACATCATTATCATTGACAAAAGAAAGAGGATGGGCTTCGGGATTCAACCGTGACACTCTATTATCAGCTGTGTCTCCGGCATCATTAGGAATGCAGTACCGCTGTGCCAAAGGGTAGACCCGTGGGTGACTGCCAGGGCAGCGGCAATGTGACTGGACATGCAATCTGAGAAGATCACCAGAAAAAACTTCCAGAATCTCTCTGTGGAAGTCAAGAGGGAGACTGTAAGGACAAAGAGCTTAACAGTAATAGAACTTCTAAGAGTTGTTACAAATGAATGTCACTCATTTAGTGCTTAATGAGCATCCATTTAGCTTTAATAATTTTATACATGGAACATAAAATTTACTTTTGACCAAATAAACAAATTCATTATCATAAAATATACATCAAAACCAGCACATTTTAACTCTTTGTTTATATCAAGAAGCATGCATAAGCCCTTGTCTGATTATTAAGATACTTATTTAAATGCCACAATATTTTACTATGTCTATTTGTGATAATATAGAAAGGTCACATTTACTTAGGTTGCTGAACTAACTACTGAGAGTGAACAATAATATATGAAAAATAATGAGAGCTATTGGTAATGTTTTCAGTTTATCCATGGGAAAGAAGTAAGAAAGGAAGTATCATTTTATCTGCTTCTGTTTTAAGTGAAGGACTGAGGCCAAGGCCATTTGTCAACGGTTTCCTGTGACTCATCAGTACAGATCCTGGCATCCTATCATGCTCCAATGGCTTCAGATCATATGGCGGCTGCCAACAGTCAAAGAAGAATGCCAATTCCAGGTAGATATATTTAATTTTTCCATTAAGGGCAATATACTTGTTCTAGACCAGAATTAGTCATTCTATTTATAGGCATTCTTCCACATAGCACCTTCCCAGACATTTCAGGTAGGCCAACACTGGTAACCAAGGTCTTACCAGAGAAACAAGGCTTTTTCTCTCAGACCCCAGTAGAGCAATGAAGGAGTCAGGCAGCTTTTCCATTCATTAAATCACATGAAGTCATACCTTCTTTAAATGTCATCAGTACTTTTCAACTGATACCAGGTTTTGAATGGGACTGAAAGCCACCATTATAGAATCCAATATAAAATCTTTCATCCCCATGGAAAAACTTTATTCCCAAAGAATTACTACAACATTGTCCTTCAGCATTTTAGATAAAGGTGATCTAAAATTATAGTAAGGCTAGTGGCAATAAATGCACCTAACAATGTGTTCCAGTGCTACAGTATTCTTTATTGAGACATATCTTGATGATATAGACTGGTGAAAAAGAATTTTTACATTGTTAATGATCTGCCATGGACTAAGAACCACAGCAAAAACAATGCTTCTAAATTTACCAGGGCTAGTCTTGTCATTTGGAAACCCACCACACTAATTTACATCTGCCTTAAAGAAATATGAATGAGCATTCTTCTTTTTGGTCTTTAATAGAAGTAAATAAGATCAACTCATCCATACAACAATATACTATTATACCACAGGACCATAAGTTGAAGAAGAAAGTTAAAAGGCATCCTAAGCAGAATTTCACTTAAACTTTTTAAAATTCTGTGTGCCTTTAAGAAGCCCTAAGAAAGATTTCCCATCACTCTCAAGATAAGGAAATATGCCATTAAAGCTAGCCTGAGTCTATACAATTATTTGTTGACTGAAAATAGAAAAATATATCACAATACTCCAAATGTTCATTCTTCTTGTCTCCAAGTCTAATAGACCAGTCTCTTAAGAATTTCCCATATATCAAAATAATTAATCATGTTTATTGTTCCACATTCTCTAGTAGGTATAAATTCAACAAGGCAATTTAAAAAGTCAGATGTAGAAATTTCTCAAGTATTATTAATAGAAAGTACTTCATAAAGAAAATTTAAACAAATGTAACCCAAATTTTATAAAATATTCCAACATCAAGTTTTCTTACAGAAAATCCTTAGGAAAAATGTGATTAATTTCATAGTACAAGGAGTTGCCCAATAGAGTAGCACTAGTGAATAACAACCATAGACTAAGCCAAAGCAAACACTGTAAACATTAATTAGGTGATGTTTGCCAAATGCTATAAAGATGAAAAATGCTATAATCTACATAGTATTCTTATTTAAGTGAATTCAGCATTTATCATTACAGTTATTGAGGTTTACAATGCAACATCTGCTTACCTGTTTGCAAGTGCCACTTGGTATAATCGAAAATCCTGCATTCTCCCAACAAACTGTTCTAAACCTGCAAATACATACATGTACATAATATAAGAAGTCTCAGTTTACCAAGCGACACCTGTCAAGTGTTTAAGTGATATTCTTAGGAAGATGTTAAGCTTAAAAACATATTTATGTCACTGCTCTTTGAAGTTTTGACAGATCAATCTCTATTTTGCTAATTCTACATAAATAATAACTATAGTTATCTCCAAGGACGGGGTAGGGCTTAAATCACAGTGAATACTTTGGCCAGCTTATTTACTCATCTAACTCACGGCTTTCTCCCGAAGTCCCTTCCCAAGTCAAATTTCTTTCTAGTTTATAAACCCATAAATCTGTTGTCTCATCAGCCCTAAATTTGATTGTCATCTGCTTCCAATTGCAATTGCCAGAGTATTTGCAATGTCAAAAGGAAGATTCCTCACTCTTACATCCACCTGTTCTCGCCCCAAGCTCCAGGCTATCTGGGTCCTCTCTAAACTTAACGTGTGTTCTAGAAAATCTCCAAATGAGGACACATCAAATACTTTCTACTTGTAGGTTCTGTGTGTATTCTAGTTCACTCTCCCAATTTTATTGCCTCAGAAAATTTATTCTAAGAAAACCAGGTTCAAAGACCAATCTACATTGAATTTGATGACCCTTCAAGGCAAATGTAGCATTCAACCTTAATCCACATGGTATTTTATTTGTTTAGAAACTATTTTTTTCAGAACTTACTCAGACAAACCCAAGAGAATGGGGACAGAATAAAGTAGGAAAACTACCACCTCTAAGTTTTTTGTTATATTTTTAATAACAAAATTTGTTTCAATAATTGTCTATTTCAATAGTTTTTAAAAATAAAATTGGAGCTGTTTTAATTCATCAAGTTACCATTTTCCAATGTGTTTTTTCTTTTAACTATTCAGTTTTCACTCTGTCTTGATAGAGATTTAAAGGATGTTTGATTTATGTTTTCTGCTGCTCCTTGGTGGTTGCTTGGAGGAAACTGGGACAGAGTGAGGATATGGCTGATGAATAAAAGATGAAGAGGAGAATTAGCACACAGAATAGTCTGAGGTAATGATCTTAGAAGTAGGAAGAACTAACAGCAAAGTGTGAGACTTAGGAGCCTACAAAGAATATGTGTCTGTGTGTGAGTGTATGTATGCATATATTTGTGCATATTCATATATTTATCTGTTATATTTATATTAAATAATATATTTGAGAAAATAAGCCACATATTTTATTTATATCTATTTCTTCATTAGTGTATTTTCAATGGATATATTCTAAGAAAAATACACTTACAGGCTCTCCCTTTCTACCCAATATTTTCAGTCTTCCACACATTCCACAAGCTGAGGCTCACAGGAACATGTGCTCTAGGCAGCCGCCTGTTCTGACTTTCCCGTAAGAAGAGTTTCTTTACTTTATCTGTCCCAAAACAGGCAGCTGGCACAAGTGCAAAGAATCATTCCTCCAAGTGTTGTTACAAAGACAAAACAAAATCTACTAAAACTTTACAGAAATCCTTAGAAGATTTCCAACACAAATTGTTCTAAAAAGCATAATTAGTTATAAGAAATAAGAAAACATGATGAAATATTTGAGTTAACTGGCCATCCAGGCGACATGATTTATGATAAATTGACCTGGATCCAGGACCTAAAGTTAAAGTAGAGAATAGTAGAAAGATGGACATGTCATTCTTAGAAGAAAGATGAGAAGAATACACCCAAATACAGCAAAGCCATTGTGCCTATGTGCTTTTGTTTGGGGAGTAGGTAAGACGAATAGGAAACTCCCTCCTCATAGCATACATTTTCTTTGTGTGGTAAGAGATAATGTCGTCTGCCAAGAATGAAGGAAGCTAGGCCTGTGTCCTGTTTGTTCTTCACCTTCACCTATCCCTAAACATGCTCAGTTCTTCCTTTCCTAATATTCTTTACACCTCATGCTGCTGATCTACAGTGTGAATTTTTAATGGCCCATAACCTTCAAGCTCTCTCAGCCCTAAGGTTCTAATTTTGCTTCTGCCTCCAATTTTTCTGCTCTATACAGCACTTAATGTCTCAGCTTTGAAATACTCCTTGTGGGGAACTTTCTGTGTCCCATAATAGTCCTAGGCATTCTCTTTCTGGGAGAAGCCACCCAGTTAGTGGTACTTTTGCATGGCAGCCCTGGGAAACTGACACAGTCTTCCCTTCCTATTTTTATCAACATAATGAGCTATCAATAGAAAAAATTTTTACATGTATTTCAAGTTACCCAATTTGCTTTCTCAGGATAAAAAATTGTCTAAAATGTTTTATATATAACCTGTAGGGAAATGTTTTATCCCAAAGAACCCAGATCATAACAAATAGGGGATAGTCATTCATAATTTGGAAAGACTTACCCTAACTGAAAGAGAGCAAAATTGATTAACACTATGATGCTGTGACGTTGCTAAGGCCTGAACCATGGCTTTAAATGTCAGGGTGGCTTCATTCTTTTATGTATTGATTCATTCACAAATATTTATTGGAAGCCTATTGTGTGCCAGGCACTTTCACGAGTGCCGAAGGTACAATCAGTTAACAATAACAACAACAAAATACCCTTGCTTTTATGAAGCTTGCATTCAGGTAGATAAACATAATGAATGAGTAATTTATATAATATATTAGCATGTAATGCATTTTATGAAAAACAGAAGAATTAGAGCAGGCTGGACAGCATGGCTGGATTTTAGTCGGGATGTTATGTTCAAGAGAGGCCTCACTGAGAATGTGGCATGGACAGGGAAATGAGAATGAGTCATACATATATCTAGAGGCAAAATGTTCCAGGCAGGCATTAATAAGCATATAGACCTCTAAATCAGTATGCTTGGCATGTTAGAGGAGGTGCAAGGAGCTAGCATCTTAGAGCAGAATAAAACGGGGGAGGTTATTAGAAGATTAGGTCAGACAAGTAGCTGGCTGGGGGAGAGGGGAGAATGGAGGTGCAAATTGTTATATATGCAAAGTCTTATAGCCTATTGTAAGAAATTTGCTTTCTAGTCTAAATAAAATGGGAAGCCATTGGAGGGTTTTGAGAAGAGGAGTGATGTGATCTCAGAATTATTCAAAAATTCTGAGACTAGAACATAGGAAGACAAGAGCAGAAGCCAAGAGGCCAGTTAGGAGGATATTATAGTCATATGGGTGAAAAATGATGGCAGTCAGACCAGTGTGTTAGAAGTGGAGGTGTACCTTTCAATGCTGATAAATTAGAATTCACTCCCTATATTTTAATAATAGCTAAAGGGAAGCTCTGCTGCAGAGGGATAATGAAATCTATTTTATTATCTATAAAATAAAGGGGCTGGGTTTTATAACCTTTAAAAACCATTTTAGTTTTAAATTTTGGAGTTTGCAATCATATCCACCGCTAAAGGATTCATGTTTGAAGGAATTCTTCTTAAAAAAGAGTTAGAGAAAGTTTTCTAAAGACCTAGAGTTAATGTGAATCATCCATCCCAAACAAGAGTTATAATTTGAAGTAAGAACGCTATTAAATATTTCAAGGACAGTCATAGAAATGTTATTTATTCCTTTGCTAGTTGCCAATTTTTAACAACAGATATTCATTGGAATAAACATTCCATAAAAAATTCTTTGAAAAATATTCATATGGCAAAGATATGTCTAAATTATATAAATTGATAAGGAAATGGACATGACTCATACAGGAAAGACCTCATAACTGTTTAGTCAGAAAATAGACGGTTGATGAAAGAAGTCGTTCTGCATTACAACTGGGTGGCACAACAAAATTAGTTAAATGGGAAAACTGTGACTAAGTAACCTAACATATAAAACAGGGTAAAAATAGCCAATAAGACTAAATAAACAAATGTCACTACAACAGAAGGAAATAAATTTTCTATTTGCAGATAGCATAATTGTCTACTCAGAAAATTTCCATGAATGTACATAAAAGCTATTAAAAATAACAGGTGAATTGGTTAATTTTGTTTGATAGATGTTAAATGTGTAATAATTCAATTTCTGCATACTCGTGATTAACCAGTGGAAATCAAAACTTTTAAATACTATTTTTATTAGCACTGAAAATGTGAAATATTAGTTATAAATCTAACTAATCTAATCTAAAGTGTGGCAATGTCTATAGTTAAAAACCACAAGACACTGATGAAACAAATAAAAGGACATCAGCAATGGCAGAGTTAAAACAATGGAAGATTCTGCCTGCCATAAAAGCAATGGGAACACTGGCAAAGAGTATGAAATCAACTCACTGAGAACTCTGGAAATAAACCAAAGACACGGAACAATGTGGAGAGTGTTTATTTGTTTTTGTTAGACTTTAAGTTCTAGGATACATGTGCAAAACATGCAGGTTTGTTACATAAGTATACACGTGCCATCGTGGTTTGCTGCACCCATCAACCCCTCATCTACTTTAGCTGTTTTTCCTAATGTTATCCCTCTCCTAACCCCCATCCTGAAACAGACCCTTGTGTATGAGGTTCCCTTCCCGGTGCCAAGGTGTTCTCATTGTTCAACTTCCACTTATGAGTGAGAACATGTAGTATTTGGTTTTCTGTTCTTGTGTGTTAGTTTGCTGAGAATGATGGTTTCCAATTTCATCCATGTCCCTGCAAAGGACATGAACTCATGCTTTTTTAAGGCTGAATATTCCATGGTATATATGTGCCGTATTATCTTTATCCATTCTATTATTAATGGGCATTTAGGATGGTTGCAAGTCTTTACTATCATAAACAGTGCTGCAATAAACATATGTGTGCATGTATCTTTATAGATTGATTTATAATTCTTTGTGTATATACCCAGAAATGGGATTGCTGGGTCATATGGTATTTTTGGTTCTAGATCCTTGGGAATCTCCACACTGACTTTCACAATGGTTGAACTAATTTACACTCCCACCAACAGTGTAAAAGCATTCCTATTTCTCCACATCCTCTTCAGCATCTGGGGTTTCCTGACTTTTCAATGATTATAATTCTGACATGAGATAGTA